TATATATATATAATATAAACCACTCACACCCTCAAATGTATATTTTCATGTACAGTACATTTATCTTTTAAATAAATAAATCTCTACAAAATAAAAATGATAACTTTAAGTTTTTTGAAGATTTAACTAAATTTGTATTAAAATTCTGATTATAAGACTGTAAAATAGTTCAAAGCTCAAAAGAAATTAATTTCTAGCTTTTAAATTATGACAAAAAAAATATATATTTCAAGTTTTAGCTGTATCATTGATAAGAACAGAATGAAATCTTTCATGTTAATTGTAATTTAAAATATACTGTATAATTTAATTTTCCAACTAAAAAATATTACTTAACAGTTAGATAGATCTTTCTGGTGTGTTACTATTTGGTGCATCTTTTGATAATTTGTTTCTCAGAGATAAGTAAGTTTTGTAATTATTAATGTTAAAATAATTTAACAATTAAATTATTTAAACATTGTGAATCCAATAAATAAGTTATAAGTATCATGTAATTTTTATATAATTATAAACTTTTAATATCGTAATATTGATTTATCGAGCAGTAATGATTAGAACCCTGTCATAGGAACAAATTTGTATATATTAATATTTTTACAATTAAAATATTTTTACAATTAAAATTATGCATTATTACACGAAAAATGTAACAATACAATTAAATTAACTTTACATCTTAAATCTGTTAAGTTACATACATTAAAAGTTATTTAAATTACAAATCTGAAACATGGTCAAGTTCTTCAGATTTAAATGAGAATCTTGATGTGAATTCACTTGTATTATATCTAGTATATAAACTTTTAATATTTAAAAAAAAAACATGGTTTTTATTAGGATAGACTACAATGATGATGATGATGATGTCGAAAATTTACATACAGATTTTGGATATAATTGTTAGCATTATTGTAATTGTACAGAATTGTAGGCGAAGAGTTTCTCTATTTTGTAACCTTTTATTTTGATTTACACTGTAGCTAAAATTTTAGAAATACTTTTATAGATTTTATTTTATAAATCCATTTTCCTTTTTACTTAGCTATTCTGTTGAAATACCACTTAAATTTACTCATGAATAACACAAGTAAATTTTATGAAATTGAAATGATATCGCCAAAAGTTAGGTTATATCCAGGGGATGCTACAGCATTCCCTTGATACCAAAGTAATCAGTTTTGTTAGTTTAAAATAAAAATAAAAAACATTATGCAAAAACAACGGGAGGTACTTTACATGCCTTGGAATTGTCTTCAGCAGCATTTGTATTCTCAAAATCTTGGATATATCACTGCTTTTATTAATATAAAGATGTATTAAGTCATCTATCTATTTTTTCTTTGCAAATTACTGCTATTAGAGATACATTCTTTGCATTCTTAAATATTTTTTTTTAACATTTATCAATTCACTTTTTTTTTTAACTTGCAAACAATAATGGATTAATATTTTTTAATTTTAATATTAATTATTTTAGTTATGAATTAAATTTTACGGAGAAATATATGCTGATATATAGTTTTGCTATTATTATAGATTTGGAGATAGTATTGGTGGGGGATTAGCAGTGGCTCATTTAGCCTGGCCCCATCCAATAGTTATTGTAGTTGGGTCCTTCCTCTCTACTATTGGAGCTGGATTACAGTCTCTTACTGGTAATGAACAAATTAAAAAATAATAAGTATTTTTTAAATAATACAAATTTTATCACTGATTATCCAGATTAATTTTATAAGTAAAATGAAATGAAGTATTTAACAAAAAATTGAATTTAAAATGATTTTGTTCAAATACTTTGCTTTATAATTTGGGAGTTTAGAAATTATTATAAATTGTTGCTAGTGTTTAAAAACTCTACAGAAATTTGAAATTATAAATAAATTTTAATTGAGTAAAAGTTTGTTATTGTAGTTAACATGTTAACTGCTATCTGCCGTGCAGGCGATCGTACTGGCTTCGGCTGTACAGCGCCATCTGACTGCCCATTGTCACATAAACAATGAAGTTTCACTCAAGGTTAAATTATCCTGGCTTCATAAGACGTTGTTCTGCATGCTGCTGGTGGCCTCTTGTGGACATCTATGCAGTTGGTTTCGACCACTGACAGTTGGATGGTTCTGAGCATCCCTTAGCTCCAACTGCTGGCTCATCGTATGGTGCAGTACAGCCCAAACTACAACCGCCAGCGAGTCGTATGGCCTCATGAAGTGGTTCAATGGCTGGAGGTCGTAATTTTTTTTTAATAAAAATCTATTTTATATCTGATAGTGTTTTTTTTAATAGTAAATACAATAGTTTAAAATATCAAAAACTAGTTTACTNAAACTACAACACAGTTTCATCAGAATCAAAAAAAATGTTCTTAGATCAATCTGGATGTGAGAGAATGAAAGATACAGAAACACACCTTATTGACTTTCAGCAATGGATTTAATACCATTTAATGATATTAAATTAAGTTTAAATGTTGATGTTCATTTAAAAAATCAAGTCTGGGAAAGTAATTTACCTCACAAAAAAAATCCACAAGGAAGGTTGCCAAGAGTACCAACATAAGAGTAGCCTATAAATGCAATCCTACAAATTTTAGTATATTTGGAGATGACAAATTGAAAGAAAATTTTTCACCATACCAGAAGTCTACTCCATCCTACTGGAAGATCAGCATTTTCAACAAAAACTTACTATGTGGGAGCCACTGTGAGGAACCTGAAGCAAGGCTCAATGAGCATCAATATACAATTAATAGGAATACAAATAGCACAGATTTAGTGAACTACACCAAGCAGAAGAACATATGCATTGCATGGGAAGATGTAGCAATAATCTGACCTAACAGAAAATATTTAAAACTCATAGAAAACAAATGTACATTAATTTTAGCAATGTGGACAGTCTATTCATGGCATATAAATGTATTTTTCAAACTTGAACTTTGACATTTATATCATGAATTATATTTTACAAATTTTACAATTTTTTTTTGTTAAATTTTAAATAATCTAATGTTTATTTTTATATTTTTAATTTTAAAATGGCAGTTTTGAATTTGATTTGTTAGTTTGTTCCATTTCTGTAGATTCTAACTGAGGAGGACCTATGAATAGGTCGAAAACATTTTTATTGTATTAAACCCATTGCTGGAAGTCAATAAGGTGTGTTTCTGTATCTCATAATATTCATTTTTGTCATTAACAGCTTTTATGAATATTAGTTGTTTGATGGCTCTTTCAGTATAATTTTCTTTTTATTTTGTTACCACTTCAGATTTTAATTATCATAAGCTAATTTATTGAACTCATTTTCAACAAATGAATATTTTTCTGTTTCAGATTTTATTTGTCGATTGTTAAAATTATAATTTTCAAAACTTATTATATCATTTTAAGAAAATATCTATTAAAATTAAACTTTAATGATTATTTTTGCAATCATAATAAACTTTCATAATTTATTTATAGTTATTGTAAATTGGGAGATCGTATACTTTCACAGAATAGAAGTATGACTTGTAGTAAAGATCAAAATATTACCGATTCACTTTTCCATATTTATTGTCATAAAAATGAAACGGCTACTGGAAATATAACAGATTATATTTGTGATCCATACTTTGAAAATAATGATGCTGAAAAAGTTAAAGCAATTCCTGGGCTTGCAAGTGGTGTTTTTTCTGGTAATTTACATTTTTCTTTTCTTTTTTAATCTTTTTACAGTACAATTTTAGTTAAGCATAAGTAATTAGATTATTTATTATTAAGTGTATTTAGATTTCTACAATAATTTTATGAATTTGATAAATTCTGCAAACTATATACTAACAAATATTAATTATTATGCTTATGCTAATTATACTTTTTTATTTATTTTATTAATTATTAATTTATATTATATTTGTAACTTTATTTAAGTAATTTTCATCATTATCTGTCAGAATTAAATTGTGATAGTTATAACAAATATGAAAGTAAAATGAAGCATGGAAAAGATGGCGTGTTCCAAAAGCTTTAGATTATATTTTCTAACAAGTCAGTTTTCATTTCTATAATTCTTGTAAAATACATCAAAAAAATATATATTAGAAGTCTCATATTTTTTAAAATATTATGTAATTAATTTGTAATTAAGCATTTATTTCATAGTTTCTTATAGTAATAATTGTTTTAGATTACTGAAAAAACATTGCAATCATCATTTTCTATCTAAAATTACTGCATATACAGTTTAATTAAAAAAAAGGAAAATCCAGTGAAATATTATTGAAAATGAAAATAATTTAAATTATTTTGGCAAATTTAACAGAAGAAATTTCTAAGCTTAGTTTTCTAAAATAGCAAAAACTATTGCATCAAAAAAAGATTGATCTGCATATAGTTATTAACAGTTTATTAAAGTGGTCTAATTGTCTAAGATTTAGCATGATTAAAAGAAAATCATGTGATATTTGTTGACAGTTTAAGTCCAAGCACATGGATTAAAATAGGCAGTTTGTTTTCTGTCTGTAAGATTTGAATGGAAGTACTAGCAAGTCAATAATATTGTTTTGGGGGCCACTTATGATGACCATTTGCTACTACTGAGGCAGTGACATCATTGCTGGCATAACAAAGAATTAGAAAAAGTTGCAAGTGCTCGTGCCAGCAACCTTGGTCATTATCACTTTGACCTCACTGTGTCTCAAATGAAATCATGTGAACTACTGATATTTATTACATTTTTAATTTCCTCATGTCATATTATGTAAAATGACAGTTTAATTAAAATAGACTGATACATGAGAAAGAACTCAATTCTATAAGCCACATAGAAGAGGCTTCACTAATTCTCCACTTCAGTGATATTTCATACAGTATAGCCTACAATTAATTTGCACTTCTATCAAAATTGAAATATTTAAAATTAAAAAGCATATTAAAATTAATCAAATATATATATGAAATTAATAAATAAAAAGAAGAAAAACAGTCAGATTATTCAAAAAATAAATTTTTATAAGATTAAAGCATGTATTAAAACAAAAGTAAAACAATAATTGTATCAGAACAATAATATTGATTAAAAAAAAACCTTTGAAATATTATAAGTTCAGATTTTTAAAAATTCTTCTTAAAACCATAGCATTATAATACAACTCATAATAATAATAATAAATAAAAAATTTCTGTTATTATATTTTTAGAAAATGTACNTAGTTTACCTTGCTTTTTTACAGACACACTACGGTGACATTATTCAACACTTGGCAGATTATTCACTACTTTATTCAGTTGCAACTGAATAAAGTGGTGAATAATCTGCCAAGTGTTGAATAATGTCACCGTAGTGTGTCTGTAAAAAAGCAAGGTAAACTACAACACAATTTCATCAGAATCAAAAAAAATGTTCTTAGATCAATCTGGATGTGAGAGAATGAAAGATACAGAAACACACCTTATTGACTTTCAGCAATGGATTTAATACCATTTAATGATATTAAATTAAGTTTAAATGTTGATGTTCATTTAAAAAATCAAGTCTGGGAAAGTAATTTACCTCACAAAAAAAATCCACAAGGAAGGTTGCCAAGAGTACCAACATAAGAGTAGCCTATAAATGCAATCCTACAAATTTTAGTATATTTGGAGATGACAAATTGAAAGAAAATTTTTCACCATACCAGAAGTCTACTCCATCCTACTGGAAGATCAGCATTTTCAACAAAAACTTACTATGTGGGAGCCACTGTGAGGAACCTGAAGCAAGGCTCAATGAGCATCAATATACAATTAATAGGAATACAAATAGCACAGATTTAGTGAACTACACCAAGCAGAAGAACATATGCATTGCATGGGAAGATGTAGCAATAATCTGACCTAACAGAAAATATTTAAAACTCATAGAAAACAAATGTACATTAATTTTAGCAATGTGGACAGTCTATTCATGGCATATAAATGTATTTTTCAAACTTGAACTTTGACATTTATATCATGAATTATATTTTACAAATTTTACAATTTTTTTTTGTTAAATTTTAAATAATCTAATGTTTATTTTTATATTTTTAATTTTAAAATGGCAGTTTTGAATTTGATTTGTTAGTTTGTTCCATTTCTGTAGATTCTAACTGAGGAGGACCTATGAATAGGTCGAAAACATTTTTATTGTATTAAACCCATTGCTGGAAGTCAATAAGGTGTGTTTCTGTATCTCATAATATTCATTTTTGTCATTAACAGCTTTTATGAATATTAGTTGTTTGATGGCTCTTTCAGTATAATTTTCTTTTTATTTTGTTACCACTTCAGATTTTAATTATCATAAGCTAATTTATTGAACTCATTTTCAACAAATGAATATTTTTCTGTTTCAGATTTTATTTGTCGATTGTTAAAATTATAATTTTCAAAACTTATTATATCATTTTAAGAAAATATCTATTAAAATTAAACTTTAATGATTATTTTTGCAATCATAATAAACTTTCATAATTTATTTATAGTTATTGTAAATTGGGAGATCGTATACTTTCACAGAATAGAAGTATGACTTGTAGTAAAGATCAAAATATTACCGATTCACTTTTCCATATTTATTGTCATAAAAATGAAACGGCTACTGGAAATATAACAGATTATATTTGTGATCCATACTTTGAAAATAATGATGCTGAAAAAGTTAAAGCAATTCCTGGGCTTGCAAGTGGTGTTTTTTCTGGTAATTTACATTTTTCTTTTCTTTTTTAATCTTTTTACAGTACAATTTTAGTTAAGCATAAGTAATTAGATTATTAATTATTAAGTGTATTTAGATTTCTACAATAATTTTATGAATTTGATAAATTCTGCAAACTATATACTAACAAATATTAATTATTATGCTTATGCTAATTATACTTTTTTATTTATTTTATTAATTATTAATTTATATTATATTTGTAACTTTATTTAAGTAATTTTCATCATTATCTGTCAGAATTAAATTGTGATAGTTATAACAAATATGAAAGTAAAATGAAGCATGGAAAAGATGGCGTGTTCCAAAAGCTTTAGATTATATTTTCTAACAAGTCAGTTTTCATTTCTATAATTCTTGTAAAATACATCAAAAAAATATATATTAGAAGTCTCATATTTTTTAAAATATTATGTAATTAATTTGTAATTAAGCATTTATTTCATAGTTTCTTATAGTAATAATTGTTTTAGATTACTGAAAAAACATTGCAATCATCATTTTCTATCTAAAATTACTGCATATACAGTTTAATTAAAAAAAAGGAAAATCCAGTGAAATATTATTGAAAATGAAAATAATTTAAATTATTTTGGCAAATTTAACAGAAGAAATTTCTAAGCTTAGTTTTCTAAAATAGCAAAAACTATTGCATCAAAAAAAGATTGATCTGCATATAGTTATTAACAGTTTATTAAAGTGGTCTAATTGTCTAAGATTTAGCATGATTAAAAGAAAATCATGTGATATTTGTTGACAGTTTAAGTCCAAGCACATGGATTAAAATAGGCAGTTTGTTTTCTGTCTGTAAGATTTGAATGGAAGTACTAGCAAGTCAATAATATTGTTTTGGGGGCCACTTATGATGACCATTTGCTACTACTGAGGCAGTGACATCATTGCTGGCATAACAAAGAATTAGAAAAAGTTGCAAGTGCTCGTGCCAGCAACCTTGGTCATTATCACTTTGACCTCACTGTGTCTCAAATGAAATCATGTGAACTACTGATATTTATTACATTTTTAATTTCCTCATGTCATATTATGTAAAATGACAGTTTAATTAAAATAGACTGATACATGAGAAAGAACTCAATTCTATAAGCCACATAGAAGAGGCTTCACTAATTCTCCACTTCAGTGATATTTCATACAGTATAGCCTACAATTAATTTGCACTTCTATCAAAATTGAAATATTTAAAATTAAAAAGCATATTAAAATTAATCAACATTTATTTATTTGAAATAATTATGTATATTATAAAGTGTACATATGAAGGATGTAATCATATGAATGTTTGCATCCTTCAAAGACTGTATTTTGCACTATCACCCAACAATCTGGTTTCATTTTAATTGCACCACATGTATGATGGATTAATGCTACCAAGGATTAATGTCTTATTCACTTGAGCATCAGTATGCCAAATGGGATAGCTTTTTTCAAACTGGGACACTTCTACATGTTGTTTTGTAATGTGTTAGTGTTATGCTGTGACTCAAGAATGATCTTGTAATTTGAGCAAAGTTAAATTTTACTTTAAACTTTGGTAATCTACCATAAACAAGCTATAGGCAAGACCACAATCTCTGAGACCCAAGAAGGCAAGACAAATCAGTAACACAACAAAGAGCCTGCTGATCATTTTTTACAATCGTAAAGAGATTGTGTACTGAAAATTTGTTTCTCCAATCAGACTTGTTACTGTGACATTGAGTCAGTTGTGAAGGATGTTTGTCGCAAAAGACCAGAACTCTAATGCAACTGAACTTGGCTCCTTCATCATGAGAACACTTTTGTACATGGCCTTCAAAATATGAGAGATTTTGGAGAAAAACAACACATCTGTTTCCACACTTCTTAATCACCAGATTTATCCCCTTATAACTTCTTTTCATTCTCTAAGGTGAAATTGAAGCTTGAGGTGGAATTTTGATTCTTTTAGAATTGCAACAAATACTTCAGAATTTTCAAAACAGTGACTTCCAAAAAGCATTTGAGGCTTAGCAAAAATAATGGGATTGCTGTGTAAATGCAGGGAAGGACTACTATTAAGAGGATGGTGGTCAGATTTCAATTAGTTAGGTATTAAAATCTTTATAAACCAAATAGTATAGATGTGCAAAAATATAAACCTCTGCTCTTTTATTTATAGAAACACAAATTCCAAAATTACTATGCAAACAAAGTAAAAATTTAAGGAAAAGAAGAAAATGGTTTATATGTAAAAAGTTGATTAAGTTTTCCTCCTAAAATAGGAATACAATGCAACAATTGTTAACAGCTAGAAAGATGTAATAACAACATCCATTAAAATTCAAAGAATTCAAATATTTAAGATTGTCCATAAAAATTATGTATTCCTTAACAAATATAAATCATCATAAAATTAAGTTATGCATGTGCACACAGTTTTTATATTATTTTACCTGTTTATTGTAATGAACATATTACTATTAATAAAGCAGTTAAAAATAGTGATGATAAATATACAATATTTTTATAATTAGATAAACTAATTGATAAGTTTTTATTAATTATAAGCATTTATAAATTTATATTCATGTATTATTTTAGAGCTGAAAAAGAATGGGGTGATGGTATACATGGTCTTGCACTTTCTGCTGCACGATACAGTCTATTAAAATTAGAAGAAGGTCCACCACATACAAAAAATTGGAGACCTCAAGTATTGGTCCTCTGCAAATTAGATGATGAATTAAGTCCTAGATATCGAAAATTATTTACCTTTGCTTCACAATTGAAAGCAGGTTAGTTTAAAATTTTTAAATAGTATTTTAGAAGCTTAATCTATGACTTTAAATTAAAAAGTCATGGAATGACAATATTTTATTCATATGAAAATATTCTTAGAATGTGAAATATTTATAAAAGCAATAAAGTCTAATTTATATTTGTGACTGAATTCTTCATTATTATTATTTTTTTAATTCAAGTTTACATAAATTTTATTTTGTAAAATTTTTTTAGGGAAAGGACTCACGATAATATGTTCAGTTTTAGAAGGAGATTATTCTAAAATGTACAGTGAAAGTCAGGCAGCTAAATTAGTAAGCTTATATGAAAATAATTCTAATTTAAAATTAAGAATCAGAATTTTTATTCATATAAATTTACAAAATTTTTCATTCAGAGTTTAAGAAGAATAATGGAAGAAGAAAAAGTGAAAGGTTTTGCTGATGTTGTTGTTGCTAAAAATGTATCTGATGGCATTTGTCATTTGTAAGTAAAAATTAATATAACAAATTATTTCATATNTTTGTTAACAAATTAGTCAGTTTTTTTATATATTTAAATTATTGTTATAAAATAAAAATAATTATTACATTTGATAATGCTTAGAGCCAGTCCCCAGATAAATAACATGAAGGAGATATTAGATGTAGGAACATACACTGTTACTGCCACTTGCTGCTAGTCAGTGCATGGAAATGCATGAATTTACATAACATTGGGTCAGTTCTATCAGTTCCCAACCCTGTGTGCTCTTAACTGCTTAAGCGTATGTTAGTAGACTTTTACAATCTTTTGTGATTTATATTTTTTACTGTTTCATTAATTCACAATTATTACATTTATTTTTTCCCTTTTTCAATTTCATTTTGTGATTTATAAATGTACAGGATGATCATAATTAAAGATCAGCTGTTTAGAGCTCTCTGTAGAAAGAACTATTAGATAAATTTCAACCAAATTTAGTATACATAATGTCATATGTATGCTGTTTTGATTTCCAGAAAAAACATTTTACTTCACTTTGGCCACTACAGCAAAATTTGCTACAGCTGTCTCATTAATATGCATATTACATATTTGTTAGAAAATATATTGCATATTTTCTAACAAATTTCAGGTATAAAAGGAATTGCAAACCATTCTCCATACATATCAGAATTGCAAATGATGTATGGAGTGAATGCAGTTTTTACAGTAGTGATATCAGAGCCTTTAAATCATCATTTCCACATTTGTATTCACTTCTACAATTGAAATAAAATTATTATATTTTGTTTAAGTTCAAAATTTGTTATAAAGCTTATGTAATAAGGACATTAAGAGGTCAGCAGTGCCAAATTTCACATTTTCAGCTGAATTTTAAAGTGAAATTTTTTCCTGAAAATTGAAACTGCATACTCAGGGCAGTGTGTATACAAAATCTGGTTGCAATTTGCCCCAATAGTTCTTTCTACAAAGAACTTTGAACATCTATTCTTTAATTATGATCATTCTGTATTGCTTATGAACAATTTTTACTCATTTTATCAGATTTTTATTTATGTATGTTTCAATTTTAAAAATCTATTATATATTATTATCAGTTCTCATTATATTATATTATATTATTGTTCATATTACTAAATTATTAATGCTGATGCTTACTGTAATTGCATATTTTAAACTTGCCTTTATGGTATTCTTCATAACTTTGCTGATTAATACTGTAAACCAGTATAGACTGTATAGACCAAATAAACTGTTCAAAAATAGGCATTTTATTTATTATTTTTTTTTAATATTAAAATACTGATTTACTATTGTTAACCTTAATAATAGAAAACTTTTTTTTTTTTAACCTGACCCCACCACATTATTGACTGAAAAATGCTGTTTTTATACAATTTTTAATCTAATTAATTACATTTAAAAAGTTTTTCTGTTATTATTATTATTATTATTCTATTTTATATTATTATCTTTCACTGGATAGAGGTCGCTTGGTAAAAT